CCGACCAACCACGTCTCACCCCCCTCCAGCCAACCTCTAGTGTACACGATGGCGGAGTACGCAAGGACAGAGGATGTCCCACTCCTGCGACTCGAAAGCGCTTGATAAACGGAGGCGGGCTCAGCTACGAGCTGCGATAGGCTAGAGCCACCTTCGTAAGCTACTTCCTCCTCGCCCAAAGTTCGATTTTCCGTTATGGACTCTCGTAGCGATGTTGTGATCTTCGGAGAAAAAGATCTCATCAAACATCCTCAGAGAATGAATGAGTAGCAGCGAGGTGGCGGGTAGATCCAGAGAGCTTGCCCAAATTTCGATAAACTCGTTCATTTTCATTCCCGTACGTGGGGTCTTACTTGAGGCGTTTTCAACGATTTCTTTCCTTTTTTTCTTCACTAGAGTTCCACTTACTACATGACGTAACGCTCTGAGCTCTAAAACCTGCGAAAGGCGATCATGGGCGGCGCTGTCTTGCAAACTCTCAAAGACAGTTCCCGCGATCAAGTGATCAGCGAAATGCCTCCGTACATTTAACATCTAGGTCCGCACTCGCATAGCGTGTACCACTTTCTCCTCTCCAAAGGGCGACATAAAGCGGCCAAAAATGCGACATAAAGCGGCGCGTGACTCTTCGCGCACTTTGGCTTACTGTAAAGGGCAAGCAGCGCAAATCGTAAGCTCGCGGAGAGTCAACAAGCTAAGATTCTCTGCGGCAAGCATATAAATCGTCCTACGACGCTGCACACAACAACATGCAAACATGTGATCCACCGTATACGTCCTCGTCTCGTAAAATGATAAGAACAAAGTGTGCAAAGGTCACACGTCTGCGGCCCTTTATCTCGCTCTTTCAAGAGGCGAAAGTGGTACGTGCGGAGCGAGATGTTGAGTGCACGGAGGCATTTTGCTGATCACTTGGTCGCCGGAACTGCCTTTAAGTCACTGGTCCTAAAAGAAAGAAGGAGAAAAGTGGAACGTCGAGCACTGAGCGGGAACCCAAATCTTTCTTTCAGATCTTGATTGGCAAGTCGATAGACGCATCATGTGAACTATTCTGGATGATGATTCTTGTCGTGAAAGCAGTCATGGGTAGAGCGACAGCAGCACGTTTGACATCCATTTTAGAGGCGTGCATAAGTGCGTCCCAGTTACTATAAGTGATTCAAAGGTTCTGAGGATTTTTTTTCAGTTATATTGAAGCCGAGCTGCCTAACCTCACATCACTTCCTCTTCCTGCTCAAATTCGTGCTCAATTGGGCTGTGACTGCTGGTGTTCTAACGGTAGAACAGATGGAGGTACCTTTGAAAGCCACGTTCTGAGTCAATCGGATCGACCTGGTGCTTCTTTATTGAAATCTAATATCTTCATGACGTGATCAGAGTTCAGGTCATCAACGATTGGCGAAATGAGTACCACGCAGAAGAAGCGAAAGCCAGTGCGCGACTATATGGGCGACCATACTTAAGAGTAATGTACGGTTACGCTGCTATTTGTAATGCAAATCGATGACCTTCTCGAGAAGGATAATCA